AGCCTTGACCACTGTTTGTGAGAGTCCAGATCGGAAGAGATGACACAGAGCAAGAAAATGAAGCACCAGCAACTTCATGCTTTCGAGAATGGAGGGAGATTTCATATACTCTCCTTTTGCGACTCGTTGGAAAGAATCATGCTCATCATGCATGTCCATGATATATAATGAAGACTCTGGGGTGTGCCCTATTTGGGGTTGAAAAGAGAAAATACAGTGAAGATATGTATTGGTAGATTAGGTTTATACTAAAGGGCATAATTGTCATTGCATTATTTTTAGCCCTAAACGGGGTAAGTACAGCGCAAGTGCCATAACTTTTATACGGAGGACACTTAAGTGCCATAACTTTTTTTTGGCTCACTTGAGTGCCATAACTTTCAAAAAAAAGATCACTTAAGTGCCACTTACGAGCTGGTCTTGAGGGCCTGAAACCGCGGCTTTTCCGGCCGAACAGTGACCTTCCCGGCGAGGCGAGCACCACCAGCTTGAAGAGGGGGTGTCGGTGAATCATTCCATGGCCTCCGTTCGTCTCGAAATTTTTGTTTTAGCCTCTGTTGACGAAGGTAAAAATGCTTCGTAGTCACACATTTATCGAGCCGATTTGTGTGACTACGAAGCATTTTTACCTTCGTTAACGGAGGCTAAAACGGAAATTTCGAGACGAAGGGAGACCATGGAATGATTCATCGACACCCCCTCTTCAACCTGGTGGTACTCGCATCGCCGGGTAGGTCACCGTTCGACCGGAAAAGCCGCGGTTTCAGGCCCTCACGACTAGCCTGTCAGAGGGGTTGGTCGTGAGGGCTCGAAACCGCGGCTTTTCCAGCCAAACGGTGACCTTCCCGGTGAGGCGAGCACCACCAGCTTGAAGAGGGGGTGTCGGTGAATCATTCCATGACCTCCGTTCGTCTCGAAATTTCTATTTTAGCCTCCGTTGACGAAGGTAAAAATGTTTCGTAGTCACACAATTTATCGAACCGATTTGTGTGACTACGAAGCATTTTTACCTTCGTCAACGGAGGCTAAAACGGAAATTTCGAGACAAACGGAGGCCATGGAATGATTCACCGACACCCCCTCTTCAAGCTGGTGGTGCTCGCCTCACCGGGAAGATCATTGTTCGGCCGGAAAAGCGGTGGTTTCGGGCCCTCACGACCAGCTCGTAAGTGGCACTTAAGTGATCTTTTTTTTTTAAAGTTATGGCACTCAAGTGAGCCAAAAAAAAGTTATGGCACTTAAGTGTCCTCCGTACAAAAGTTATGGCACTTGCGCTATACTTACCCCGCCCTAAACCGTATGTATATATATATTGTAAATTGTTTCATCAATGAAAGCAATGTTTCCCCAAACTCTTCATTTTTGGGGTGATTGTGTCTTAACTGCTACTCATCTCATTAATAGACTACCTAGTCCTCTCGTACACAATAAAACCCCGTATGACCTTCTCTATGGCAAACCACCTTCCTATTCTCATCTTTGTGTCTTTGGCTCATTATGTTACGCTTCTACCGGCCATCTTCACTCCGATAAATTTGGCCCCCGATCTTGCCGATGTGTTCTAATCGATTATCCCACGAACCACAAAGGTTACCGTCTTTATGATCTCCAAGACCAAACAACTTTTACCAGTCGCGACGTCGTTTTCTATGAACAAGATTTTCCTTTTCGTCAAACAATCGACCATACCACAACAGAACATACTCCGGTAATTCCATTACGCATACCCGATCTTGGTGAGACCTCCCCTCCTCCCACCACCCCGGTACTTGCACCGACCTCACCTTCTCAGCCCCCTGCACCCACAGCCGCACAATCACCCACTGCATATCCTTAAAGCAAGAACCTGAAACTTATGACGCTGCGTGTCAATCTCCCAAGTGGCGGGAGGCCATGTCTTCTGAGATACAGGCCCTTGAACAGAATGACACTTGAGAAATTGTTCCTCTTCCTCCTGACAAACAACCCATTGGATGTAAATGGGTTTACCGAATCAAATATAAGTCCAACGGCACCATTGAGCGCTACAAAGCTCGTCTCGTTGCAAAGGGTTACACTCAAACAAAGGGGATTGATTATCATGAAACCTTTGCGCCTGTTGCTAAAATGGTAACCGTTCGCACTTTATTAGCTCTTGCTTCAATTCGTCATTGGCCTCTCTACCAATTAGATGTAAATAACGCTTTTCTGCATGGTGATCTTGACAAAGAGGTCTACATGAGATTTCCACCAGGTTTTCATACTAAGGGGGAGAATTTAGTTTGTCGGCTTAAGAAATCACTCTATGGCCTTAAACAGGCATCGAGGCAATGGTTTGCTAAATTCTCTTCTACACTGCTTGATGTTGGTTTTCAACAGTCCAAGGCGGACTATTCACTTTTTACATTGGTCCGTGGCTCTCTCTTGACCATTGTCCTTGTTTATGTTGATGATTTGGTTATCATGGGTAATGATGAAGTTATGATTCAACTTCTCAAGCGATTCCTTGACACACAATTTCGCATTAAGGACTTGGGTACTCTCAAATACTTCTTGGGCATTGAAGTTTCTCATTCCAAGTCTGGGATTTTCTTGTCACAAAGGAAATACACTCTTGATATTTTGTCTGACGTTGGTCTTCTTGGAGGACGTCCTATTGATACTCCGATGGAACCCAATATACAATTTTCGGATTCCTCTCCAACTCTCAAGGATCCAGGTTCATATCGACGACTTATTGGTAGATTATTATATCTTACAGTAACTCGTCTAGATTTACTCTTTGCAGTGCAACATCTTAGTCAATTTATGCACTCTCCTCATGAAGACCATTGGAATGCCGCACTTCGCATTGTGCGGTATCTCAAGCATAACCCCGGCATTGGTTTGTTTTTCCCATCCAATTCTACTCTCCAACTTAATGGTTATACAGATTCTGATTGGGCATCTTGTTCTACATCTCGACGATCTGTTTCTGGCTACTGCATGTTTCTTGGTTCTTGTCTCATCTCATGGCGTTCCAAGAAACAAACCACTATTGCCCGTTTCTCAGCAGAAGCTGAATATCGTGCTATGGCGTCTGCCGCTTGCGAAATCACATGGCTTCGCACGCTTCTCTCGGATGTCCACGTCAACACTACCACTGCTGATCTTTTTTGTGATAATAAAGTGGCCATCCACATTGCCACTAATCCCGTCTTCCACGAATGCACCAAACACATCGAGATTGACTGTCACTTGGTTCGTGAAAAAATTCAAGATGGCACTTTGCGCACTCTTCATATTCCCGGTCACTCCCAACTCGCGGACTTGTTCACGAAACCGGTCACACGTGATTTATTTTGTACTTTTAAGAACAAGTTGTTGACATGTTTACATTCACCAACTTGAGGGGGAGTATTGGTAGATTAGGTTTATACTAAAGGGCATAATTGTCATTGTATTGTTTTTAGTCCTAAACCCTATGTATATATATTGTAAATTGTTTCATCAATGAAAGCAACGTTTGCCCAAACTCTACAATATGAGGCAGGCTCAGCCCGCGGATGATGCGGTAGACGGAGGTGATCCGAATCTAGAAAATGCATGAAAACTCGTGCTTTGCACAGTGATCCGACATGGATCCCATTGTGTTTTTTCTTGTTACGTGATTGACTCAATTTAACAGACTAAGCTCACACCAACAATTTCTCGTAAAATACGACATCACGAGGTTGACCTGATTCGTATACCGCTTAATGGACTCATGTCGAGACGAGATTTGTCCTTTTAAAATGGCATTTTCGGGTTTCAACAAGAAAAAAGTGGCATTTTCGGGTCAGTCAACAAGGATCGAGAATCGTGCAATAATTTATGTTAACTTGGGGAGTGTAATGAGCTAGAAATTGCAAGTCGTGTCAATGCCTTCAATTTTTTTCGAGGTGAAATTTTGTTAATTAGAGAGGAACCAACGTAGAAAATGCAATAAAACTCGTGCTTTGAATTGCAATCCGACATGGATCCCACTGTGTTTTCCGTGTTTCATGATTGGCTCAATTAAATAGTCTTAGCTCACAACAATAATTTCTCGTAAAGTACAACATTACGAGGTTGGCTTGATTGATATACCGCTTAATGGACTCGTGTCGAGACGAGATTTGTCCATTTAAAATGGCATTTTCCCGTCAGTTGACATGGATCGAGATTTACGCCATAATTTGTGTTTAACTCGGGGAGGGTCACGAGCTAGAAAGTGCCGGTTGTGTCCGTGCCTTCGACTTTTTTAATCCTAGTGGAAGTTGTTAATCAGAGAGGATCGATTATATTATATAAGTAGCTGCAAAACGTGGAGGGAGTCGTCGCCCCTCATAAGGGTTGAAAGGGAGGTACACCAAACCAATTGTGAATAAGGAAAAATTAGGACTGAAGCTTTGACATTAACTCCAGAAAAGGAAATTAAGTACCATAAAAAGCAACACAAGATAACCACGTGCTTCCGATGATCTTCATTAATTTTTGGTACAACGCTGTATATTAGTCTAAGATTACTCAGGAAAATCTAAGAACATGAATTAGATGCTTGCTAAGCATTTGCTCCCTACAACCATCAGCCTTAAATGTGCTATCGCAGAATCGTACAGGGTGCGCTTCGATTCATCATTCAACGGTTAATGAGGTGCACAGAGGAGCGTAATACGGATCATGTCAACAAGAAGTGCCCTGGGGTTTCGTCAAACATAATCCACACGGAACAGTTCAACTGCCAAAGCATTGATTGCACACAATATGAAACGTGTTGGTGATGGCTTAGCTCGAGGAGGCGGGCGTCGGCAGTACTGAGAGGAGGGGGCCAAGCATCGGATGAGCCGGATAGGATTTTGGATAAGGACCTTACACCAAACATTATCGTTGGACGTCAAATCTATATCGACAAGCCATCCTAATGTAATGGCAACTATGGATTCAAATAATGATAAGTTGTGACCATCCATACTGAGTGACTGTAGAAACGCCACTAAAGAAAAATATTATCGCATCGGCCAGATGTTTATTATATGTAACTGCGAATTAAAAGGGAGCTACAATTGCAAATTAAATGTAATAGTAATCGAACCACCTATTAATCAGTTCAAAACATTCTTTGGGCTTGTATTCCGGAGCTGTGTGTCCCCCTCCCTGCACAAAGGAATTCATTTAACACTTTCGAGTACGACCCAAAATTTTTTAAGGAGCCAAAACAGTAAAATTAGAATATGAAAATGGGAAAAAGTTAAGACAAAAGAGTTTTTAAAGTAGAGATTATTGTATATATGGATGTCCTTGCCTTGACGGTTGCATATGTTAAAAGGGATGGGAAGTAAGAATATAGCGTAGTATACCTACGAGAGAAAAATAAGAGAGCGAAGTAAGCACAAGCAGCTGAGATACCAAGTAAAAGATATAATAAATATTATAAATGATAAATTGTCTAGACATTGTACATACTTTGCCTAATTAGTCTAAGGTAACTAGGATAGAGATACTTATGTTTTCACCATACTAGAGCCTCACTCGATAAAATCGACATAAGTACAGGAGTGTCGGGACAATGCGTCAGAAAATTGAACTGTACTGTAGTTAGAAGGTTGTGATTAAAAACGAACCCGGCAACTTGTCCATCGACGAACCACGCTTCCCAATCTTGAGAAATTGTCAGATTCAATGTTTCGATCCAAGCCAGCGTTCCCACGTACGGAACGACCATGTCATGATCACCGCTAGATTTTAAAAAATTATATTAAGTGAAGTAAGTCATTCGGTTGATGGGTGGTTATGGCACAAAAAAGAAAAGAAAAACACAATTAAACAATTAAGCTTTGGACACATCACATTATAAGAATATCAGTTGCATAAGTCATATTGCAAAAAGATGCTTAATTACCTATATATGAGCACCCGAAATCCCATTTTTATGAGCTCTTTGTGTATGTCAATGACATCCGAGACAGTGTATATGTAAGATAAAGTCTCATTGCACCTCACCCACTTCTCAATTGTCCCCTGGCTTATCAATTAACACATTGCAAAACATAGGGAAAATAGATATAAGAAAAGACAGAAAAGATCAAAAAGTGATTTTATGTAAGTAATATCACCAATTGACATACCTCTCGGACATGAAGAGCATCGTGAACCGCTCTGTCGCTAGCCCAAATATAGGAGTACATATAGTTATAATTCTACATTGAAAAACACGATTACAAAATTAAAGCGTGAACTTTGCAATTTGATAATGATTCTTTCTCTTTAATTTGCAGATAAATATCACATAAATTTCCTAATAGCACCTTTAACGTGATGGAGACCGGATTGCCGGACCCATTACGGTGCATTTGATGGTCCTGGGCGGTCCCAGGGCAGTCCTTTTACTTTAGCATGTCATTCGGGGTATTTCCGGGTTCATTCGGGCTCCTTTAGAGCTCAAATAAGCGCTCTGAACCCGTGGTCCAGCGCCTTTAGCCCGCTAAACAGCCGGCCTCAGGTCCTTATTTGGCTCCAATGGGGGTCCCGAGCCGACCAGGGACGTCCCTTTCACATTAGTACGTGATTTCAGGGTTGGATCGCATGTTTAGGCTTTATAGTTGTCTAATTCATGTTACCGTAATTGATTTGTGGTTAATTTACATGTTTAGTGTAATTTAATTGTTTAATCATGGTATCTTTAGAATAGATGAAAAATAACAAAAAATGATAAAAGTAAAAGATAAAAGGACTGGAATTTGCATTTAGTGGTTAATCATTTGAGGAATATTCTAACTCATGCTTGGTTGCACTGCATGTTATTAGATATTCCATTGTCATCATTTAGTTTTAGGATGTATTTAATTCAAGGCATTTGAATGTTTAATGTAAAAATAATAAATATGAAGATCAAATTGGCATTTAATAGTGAATTGCATATTTAGGGTTTGTTCAATTTATACCCAATCATAAATAGTTCTGATTGAATATTGGACAATCATTACCAAAAATATAAGAATCGGAATTGCATTTAGTTGTGAATTGCGTGAATAGAGCTAGTTTAATCTATTTTGGGTCTTAGTTCGTCACCGTTGAATATTATGTGATCATCACTTAGTTTGTTTAAGGAAGCACGCATTATTTAGTTTTAAATTATGCGCACATTTAACTTTGGTACCTTACCAAAAAAAAAAAAACTTTGGTATAGCTCGCAGGGATCCTGTCCCGAGCTTTATAGTAAGGCGGAGTTATATTCTTTACCCGACATCTTATTGGGTTTCATTTTCGGACTTCACATTAAGTTGCATTATTATTATAGCAATTTATTTATTGTGATGAATAGATGTAGTTTAATTGTGTGGGTTAATAATACATGGTGCTTAGGATTTTTGAAATGAGCAATATTGCATGTTTAAACGTTTTCGTAAAGAGAAAAAGGTATCAATATTGGGCGTTAAACATTTGTAGCGTAAATCAAGGCCTACGACCGAATATCTGGTTCGTGGAAATAAAACATCATCCCACATTATTTACTGAAAAAAATTTAAATTTCAATTCATGACTCATATTATTTACTGAAAAAAATATGGCAAAAAGAGAAAACATAAATCTGATACACTTACTCGGCACCAAACCCGAGGAGCTTCTGGCGTGGGAAGAAGGAGAAGTGAACGGTCTTGATTTATCAAGCCGGAGTCCCACGTACCACCCACCGTTGATTTCGGAGTCTGAGGCAGGCAGTTCGGTTCAAGAATGTTTGCTTCACATATATTTTCCAGGCACTAAATTAGCAAAATTCAAAGATTTCAATTCATGAAATTTCCAACAGGAAAAGAAAATAATCAAAAAGGGGAAAAAGACAACAACAAAAAAAACATTAAATTGAGAGGAGAGAAGAGAAGAAAACAGAATGAATGCCCACCAACCTTGGCCACCCCTTCAAGGTCATTGACACAAGCAGCATTGCTTAAGTTAACGTCGACGTAATCGCCATTACAATTAGTTTTAGCTGACTGAAAGCACCAAAAAGGTAAATATTTTTGGGTCCAATATCAAAATACAAATAAGTGATTAATGGAGAAAGAATCGACGCGGAAAAGAAAATCCCACAACACACGTTCTTACCTTTTGTTTTCTCGCTTTTAATGATATGGGAAAATGACTCTAATAGTCTCCGAACTTTGGCCCAATGTGTAAGGTGGTCCTTGAACTTTAACCAGATATGCAATGTGATGCAAGAACTTTTAATTTATTCAATATCGTCCCGGAACTTTTGAACTGTATGATCATGTTCAATGTAGTCTTTCCATTAATTCAAGTGCATGGACTGCATTAAATATTTTCAAATAGTTCAGGGATTACATTGAAAAAGTACCAAAAGTTTAGAGATAACATTAAACAAATTAAAAGTTCAGGGACTACATTGCACATCGGGCCAAATTTCAGGGATTATATTGAACAAATTAAAAGTTCGGAGACCACATTACACATTTAATCAAAGTTCAGGAGTTGATTGTGTCATTATCCCTAATGATATTAGATTCGCAAAGAGACTTAAGAATTTTTTTGAAAATCGTCTCACATTCTCAAAACAATAATACACGTTCTACATCTAATACATCTAATATACATATCAAATAATCTTTTCAAACACTATGCAATAAAGAAAAGCATGAACTTTTTTCACACGATTTGCTATAAACACAATGGAAGTCGTTACCTCGTATAGCTCATCAGATATAAGAGCCTTCAAATGCGCGAACGGGACTATTGAATTCATGTCACTACTTATATTTGTTGCAGGGTTTCCAAGCAAGTAACCCTGAATCAAATTCGACCGATAAGTTTCATCATTTCGGAAAGGAAATGCGAATTAGGGAACAATGTATCAATGTGATGATAGTGATAGTTACCTCAAGATTCATCTTAGGCTTCAAACCGACATCGTTTCCTAGTAGAAATCATAACGGACCAAGGTTAAAGCATGTTAGCCTTAAACACAAGCTTTGTTGGAAAATCAAGAAAAATAATCAGGAACGATGAGCTTAAAGAATAACTAACAGCCCACAAATTAATTGTTTGGAACCCTGATTTGGTGTCGATACTCGGTAGGCTATGTTGCTTGGGCTTTTGGTTTTCCTTTCACGTCTAAAATGCATAACTTGAGCACGAAATAAAGAATTATTCTATAAAGTAAATTACTAAGAAAAAAAAAACTCTGGACTGAATGGTTAAGTGATTAGTTTTTGTCATAGATCTGAGGATGAAGTTTTATCCAATCAGTGTACAGAGACATGATAGTTAGTATATTTTATGAAAGTTAAGACTGGTCTAAATTGACTTTTATGTTTTACCATTTGTTTAATTTAAATTTTGGGGTGTGTACACTAATACTAAATCCTTCAAAATATTTAAATGTTGACAAATAGAATCGCATCTATAAATGCTTATTGAACAAGCAAACAGAAAATAAAATGAATAAACAACCATACCCTTAGCAACTTGCAGAGTGACCATTGGAACAGTGATACCCGAGTAAGAATCCCCAGCAATGTAGAGTGGGTTGCTCAGAAACTCAGGATGGAGCTTAAGCCACTAAATCACAGCTCAAGCAGCAAACCCAAAAGACAGAAGAAATTATAAATTTTAATTATGCAGAGGCTCTCCTTTACATGAAAGATTCATTTTTCACTTTACCTTCCAAAGAAATTCATACGTTGCAGCGGCCGAAACGTTGTCGTTCATATTGTAGCTTTCCCAGCTATTTGCGTAGGAGAATCCAGTTCCAACAGGCTGATCTAGGAATATAATATTCGCCACCTGTGTCGACATTAAGTTGCCAATCCATGAATAGAGTGTATCATGAGCCTAATGGCTTGCTAATCCTAGTTCAGATCGGTCGAATTAGCAACGAGACCATTAAAAAAAAAACTTTCTTAGCGGTTCGGGAAAATGATTTTTGGGCTTGATACTTGCCTTGCCCCGCTAGTTGATTAGGTATACTTAGCGATTGTCCAATCAAGTTATGAGTGTCATGTGACAAAAATTATAACTTGGAAGAAAAAAAAATTCAATTCTTGTTACCTTTGTCCATGAATATTCATGCAATTGTAGAGTTGGTCTGTCTCTGGTAGAGTTCTCGTAATTGAACGTGAACGGACCTACATTCAACGGAATGAATATGTCACATTTCACGTATTAGAATTCATAAATTTCAAACTGTAATGGCATTCGCATTTTTTTTAAAGTACACAATCTTTACTTAACACATTCAATAAATAAATGACTGATGGTAATTAGAATCTAACCAAATATATTAATAAAAAGGTATCAAATACAGCTTTTTCCATGTATGGTAAGAGATTGATGATATTCGGTTATCAATTTGTAATTGTCGTCAAACAACTTTTTTATTCTATTTTCAACACCATGCTTTATATATGTGAAAAGAAATATAATAATTTGTGTGTACGAGCATGATCAGCTAATTAACTCCTGTCCAAATTGGTGGAGAATATTTCTCTTAAGGATAATTCTTTCTGCACTCATTTTAATAGAATCATTTCGAGTTGAAAGAGTGCCTTGCCAAAAAAATTAGGGCTAACTTTAAAATAGCCGGATCAAATCGAATTGAATTGAAATTACTATTTCGGTTCACTCTGGAGAGTAGTTAGATCTACTATAACTTAATAGGCAAATCCATGACACGTGTCCCCAGTGGTAAAGGAATTGGGTGGGGTAGGCTTGTTTAGTTTTGGGTGTGAGATTCGAGTCCCAATTAGTGTTCGAGAACTTCATGACTAAAATCACATGTTGTGAAATGCAAATGTTAGATTTCACCATGGGCGGTTGAGATTTCAAAAGATAGATTCATCCGTTTAAATAAGTTGTCCTACCCTTTAAATTGGGTCTCATTCCCCCCGCCTCCTCTTTTGAACTTGTTATGTTCGGAAGCACATCTCATGTGTTCATCTATATTTACTTTTTGAAATGAAATGATCCATTTCCAATCAAAATAATAAATAATAAGTGGTCCCACCAGGTCCGATAGGCCCGGCTCAGTTTTTAGTTCACTTGTGTTTGGCGAAAGCGAAGGTTTGAAAGGGAACATACCGATCTCATACAATATTGCGGAGAGAGCGGAGCAACCGGGGCCGCCTGTGAGCCACAGCACCAAAGGGTCATCTTTCGGACTCCTCTCTGACTTGACGAAGTAATAAAACAGCTGAACATCTTCCAACTCCCCCACTCCAATGTATCTAAAACACAAAAAAGGAAAAGAATCAACAACAACATGCAAAGATTCAAACAACTGTAGAGAGAGAGAGAGAGAGGTTTCACTAACCCAGTTTCGAGATAGAAAGGGAGGTCACCGAGCAATCCGGGAAGAGACTTGACCACTGTTTGGGAGAGTCCAGATTGGAAGAGAAGACGAAGAGCAAGAAAATGAAGCACCCACCACTTCATACTTTTGGAGAATGGAGGGAGAATTCCTTAGGTTATAAGGGAACTGTGTTTCATTCACGCTCCTCTGACTCTTGCAAAGATTATGCTCATCGTGCAAGTCCATCATATATAGTGAAGACTAGGGTGTGCCCGATGTGTGGTGATTAGTGCCTAATTGTGATGGATCCAATAAAATATAGAGTAACTATCATGTAGTCTCCACTAGCGGATGATACGGTAGACAGAGCCTATCCGAAGCTACAAATTGCGTGGAAACTTGTGTTTCGTGATTGGCTCGGTTTAATAGATTACGCCCCACGCAACAATTTCTTGTGAAATACAAAAGTTGTGAGGTTAGATTAGCTAGTATACCCCTTAATGATTCATGTCATGTCGAGATGAAATTTGTCTGCTTAAAATGGCGTTTCACGTTATTTGATAACAATCGAGATTTGAGCAACAATTTTGTTCACCCGAGGAGTGTAATGAGCAAGGAAGTGATCGTTGCATCGGCGCCTTCAATTTCTTTTCATAGAATAAGTTTGAGAAATGGAGGGATCGATCATATGATTAGCTGCAAAACGTGGAGGGCTCCATCGCCCCTTCTCACCGTTGAAGGGGAGGTACACCAAACGGAGTGCGAATAAGGCAAAATTAGGATTAAAGCTTTGACATTGATTCCATAAAGAAGAAATTAAGTAGCATAAAAGCCAACACCAAATATTAGTTATTTCGACTTTCAAAAATCATTTGCGCGTAACAGGAGATGTGCCAATGCATTGAAAAATGTAAAGTATACTTATCAAGTGCCCTCTAATTACTAGAAACACTCTAAGGTTTTACAAAATTAGAGGGAAAATTGTTCAAAAAGTCATAAATCTATTGCATTTTTATCAATTTAGTCCCAAACCTTTTTACGATTTGCCAATTAAGTCCATCCAATCAATTTTGGCTGGATATTGCTGACATAGACAATGGCCGTTCTACATGGCACAATCAGCGCTCATGGTCAATGCTGAAATGGATAATTTTTAATAATATTTTAATATTTTTTCGATTTATATTGAATTTTTTGTATTTTATTTTATTTTTTCTTTTCTTTTCTTTTCTTTCCTTTTCTTTCTTTACTTTTATTTTATTTTTTTACATGTTAAGGGCCGGCAAGGGACCGCCGGCCCCCAACTAAGGTCCGGCGACCCCCACCGACCATTGGGCGAGGGCTTCGCCAATCAACGGTAGGGGCTCAATAGCCGGGTGTGAGGGCAGCTAGCCCTCGTTGGCAACTAGGCAAGGGTCGTGGCCCTCGCCTAGCCATGAGTGAGGGCTACGACCCTCGCTCAATGGCTAACGAAGGCCACAACCCGCACCAGCCCTCTCCTAGTTTTCGGCGGGGGCCGCTAGGCCTTGGCCGATGGCTGGCAGCCCCTGCTAGCCCTTAAAGATTAAAAAAATAAAAAAAAAATTAAAGGAGGAAAAAGAAAAAGAAAGAAAAGAAACTAAGAGAAAATAAAAATATAATTTTTATTTTTTAAAAAAATTATAATATTATTAAAAATTATCCATGTCAACCGGCATCCACATCAACGGTTTCCGGCCTAAATTGATCAGATAAACTCAATTGGAAAAAGGTGAAAAAGGTTTTAGATTCAATTGTCACAATCAAAAAGTTTATAACTGAATTGGAAAAATGTGCAATAGATATAGAACTTTTTGGACAATTTTCTCCAAAATTAAATGTCGGATGAGCTCAATCGAACACGGAATTGTAGAGATGAGAGAGGATATTTATTTCAGCATCGTGGCCGAATAGGAACACTGGAAAGTAAATGATTATTCAGTAAATTCATTATCAAGTATTATGTTATATATGGAAATAAACTGTTTTACCTATATTCAAAATACAATTGCATAAGATACATGCGAATTAAGAAACTTTGGCTTTGGCAATGGAAAAGTTCATGTCCCCAGAATTAAGTCATCAGTAAGATGCTATTACACTAAAGGTGTTATAACAATTTATTACATCGACGATGTTTATTGTATAAATCCGAGAATTAAAAGGGAGCTACAACAGCAAATTAAATATAAAAATAATCGAACCACCTATTTATCATCTCAAAACATTCCTTGGGCTTGTATTCTGGAGCTGTGTGTCCTCCTCCCCGGACAAAGGAGTTACATATAACACTTTCAACGTACGACTCACAAATTCTAAGTAGCCAAATTGAATGAAATATAGAATACAAAAATGGGAAAAAGTCAAGAAAAAAGAGTTTGTAAATAAGAGATTATTGGATATGAATCTGCTTGCCTTGACGGTTGCGTAGGTTAAAAGGGATAGTAAATAAGAATATAGCGTAGTATACCTACAAGAAAGAAAGAGGCCAAAGTAAGCACAAACAACTGAGATACCAAATTAAAGATATAACAAAAATGAAAAGAAATATATGTACTTTCTTTATTACCCTAAGGAAACTTGGATGGAGATGCTTATTCTTTCACGATTATCGAAAATACGGGAGCCTCACTCGATAAAATCAACATAAGCATAGGGGTGACGGGATAATTTGTCAAAAATTTCAACAGTACAATAGTTAGAAGGTTGTGATAAAAAAATAAACCCGGCAACTTGTCCATTGACAAACCACGCTTCCCAATCTCGAGAAATTGTCATATTTAGTGTTCCGATCCAGGCCATCGTCCCCACATATGGGATGAACATGTCGTGATCACCACTAATCCCGTTGATTGGTTATGGCACAAAGAAGAATACACAAAGCAATTAAGTAATTAACCTTTACACACATCACATCATAAGAAAATTAATTGCATAAATCATATTGCATAAAGATGCTTCATTACCTATATATAAGCACCCGAACTCCCCTTTTTATGAGCTCTTTGTGTACGTCAATTACTTCTTTGACAGTGTATGCGTATGATAAACTCTCGTTACACCTTACCCACATTTTAATAGTCCCCTGGCTTATCATAGGACACATCACAAAACATAGACAAAAATAGATAAAAAAAGAATAAAAAGTGATGTATATGTAATTAATTTTACCAATTTACGTACCTCTCGAATATGAAGAGCATCTTGAACTGCTCTATCGCTAGCCCAAATATAGGAGTACAGATAGTTATAACTCTACATTGGAAAAACAGGATTACAAAATTGAACTTGGAACTTTGTCATTACTATTTTCCGAAATTATACTTTATTTTGATGTTGATAACCGAATTTTGAGGTTAATGGATACTTATCAAAGCGTAACATAGTTGTATTTTTTACATAATTTCTGGATGTCACTACTAATCAATGACGTGAGCACGACTTATTGTTTTCCAATCTCTCTTGGACGTAAATTTTTAGGAACAAAGACATCACAAGTGACATAACTTTTGTATGACGCTCATTTGAAAGGCATAACATTTTTTTCTACATCTTAAGTGCCATAACTTTCAATTAATCACTTGAATGCCAAATTTTTTAAAAAATGACTATCCAAGTACCAAAAATCCAACATGGTATAGAACTCGTGGTGAACGTTTTTAAAAAGTTTTGACACTCAAGTAATCGTTTTAAAAGTGATATGGCACTCAAGCAATCGGTTAAAAAAGTTATGGTATTCAAGTGAGCGTCTTACAAAAGTTATAACACTTAAGTGAGCACCATTTAAAAATTATAGCACTTGCGGTGTCCTTTTCCTTGAATTTCTACATGTTTTCGTTTTCTTGACGGGAAATGGGTGATGAAGTAGAGAATCAAAATAATCTGAAAATCTGACCAATGAAGATGATGATCCAACAAAGATCTAATTAATTAAGTTATTTTTATTTTCACTAAGCAAAAAACAATTTTTTTTGTGTTCCAATTAAAAAAAATTATTCCAATTCTGAAAACATGTGATAGAATTATTTGCGAATTTAGTTGCCAACATTTATAGACTATCATACTACTCATATCAAGTCCAAAAATTATGAAATTAAAGTATGTAAAACTTCAAGATGTTTGGAGAAACTTTTAAGAGGATGTGTTTGGAAATTCGGATCACAAAAGTCTCCACAAAAATAACAAAACGAAGGGCTAAAGAGGATCCGTATTTGGGTTTTCCAGAATAAGAGTAAAATTGGCTCCGATTGGGAAAACCACCAAACTTAAACTATAGCCATTTCCTAGGGACTGAAATTGAGGATGTTACACCGGCCATGCCATGTAGTATAGACAATGCTGACTAGACCTCCACGTCAACGATTTCCAGCCAAAATTAGCCGGAAGAACTAAATTGGCAAATTGTCAAAATGTTGATGACTAAATTGACACAATCGAAATTTTTAGGACTAAATTAGCAAATCATCAAAATGTTTATGACTAAATTAGCACAATTGAAAACGTTTAGGATTGAATTGGCCGTCGTATAATTGATTTAGGATTTTTTGAACAATTTTCCCTTGAACATACTGTTGTACGTTTGCGTATGATACCGGGTAACAACTCCTTCATGGGCTTAGTTGATTTTCGAACTACAATTACAGGGTTCACGTCATAAGATATGAATGTGGAAGACCCTTATTTGGGGACATGCAGATGCTCCAGAAAGCAGGTTTAGGGGCTGCATGACAACCATTCTGTGCCTAGAAACAGATTATGGGCATAAATGATTCTTTTTTATTCTGTTCCCGGGAATAATTTCTAAGCATTTGAAGGTGTTTGGTAACTGCCCAAAATTTCTGTTCTTAGAATAGAAAAAGAACATAAATGCGTTTGGTAACTACACAAAATTTCTTTTTATTAATAATATTTTGAATGTTTTAATATTTCTTTCTTTTTTCTTTTTTTTTTTCCTTTTTTTTCCTTTCTTTCCCCTCCCTTCCTTGGCCATGGCCGGCCGCCGGCGACCGGCCACAGGCCAGCGCTGGCGAGGGCGTCGCGACCCTCGCTGCCGGCCTCGCCGGTCGCGACGGCGAGGTCGGCCTCGCCTTGGCTAGGCGAGGCCTTGCCGTCGCGGTCGCGAGCC